CCACCAGCTCTAGCCATTGCACTTGCTTTTGGCATTGCCTGCGCTCTGTGTGTTTGCCAAGGACATTAATTGCCGAAAAGAACTTTGTCTTTTGGCGTGGCGCAGCAAAACTCGCTTCAAATGTCCTTTTAATGAATTGGCAGCTATCCTTTATAGCATTTGCTCACTTGCAGTGGCGCCTGCACGAAAAGCCTCCAATAAATCGCATTGACAAAGCATAAAGACAACCAGATTCTTGGGCAACTTAAGTCCAATTAGGAGTTGATGAAGCCACAAGATGCATTTACAAATTTTTGTTAACTAGAGTAAGGTTGACTAGAGCGGGTTGAGTTCAAGATGAGCCAGAGAAATGTGTGGATTTTTTCTGGGTGAATTGACCTAAGCGAAACCAGGGAAGCTATGGAATGGAAAGGAAATTTATAATGCTTTAATAATTTATGTTTATTCTTATCGTTTTATAGGAACATATAGCAAGGTGGCAGCTTTGGCTGATGACGGATTGAAGAGTGATGACTGTTGCAAAGGGAATGCAGCAGAGGAGCTAAAGCAAGCACTAAATGCACAAGGAAGTATAGTATAACATATAAATATAAAACATATGAATTGAAGCTTGAAGCTTTAGCATTATAGATACCTAACAAGTGTCAACATATGATTCTATAGATCCAACATAATTACGAACTCTATCTATCTAATCATACCTTTTTACCTTTTTAACTTATTTAGCATATTATGCTAACAAATTTAGTCCAACTTTTCTATCCATGGCTTTTATTTTGTTTGCTTTCGAACTGGACTTAATTGTAGCGCTCTCCCTAGTTCAGTTTCACTTAATTATGTTAACATTAAACGAGATTTATTTGCCATTAAACATTATTATGCTATCAAGTTTGGCAAAGTTTTGCGTAGAGCACGATTTATGCAACGTAAGTACCTGCAAATACTTGAGCAAAGAAAATTATGAGGTATGTATTTTATTTTTCTCTCTTTCATTTACTTTTTATTCAGTATTTTTTGTTGTTGCTTTTAGAAAAAGGCTGGCCGCAGAAAAGACCGCGAGTTGCGGCGCAGTTAGCTATGTAAATGTTTTCGCAGCTGTTTATGTATTTACTTTTAATGCCACTCGAAATGGCGGCTGCCGCTGTGTCTTCTCTTCAGCAGCCAACCACGCGCTGAGAATGTTAACAATTTTAATTAATGGATAAAGTTCTGTGGAATTCTAGCTACAGGCACAGCTCCAGCTCCACTTCTAACCAAATTGTTGCCAGTGGTCGTCAGCTGGTTTTTAGTTTTCCAGGGGTTGTTGCAGAGGCATCTAAATATTTATGCATTGCGCCAACCAGATTCGTGGCCATTCAAAAGCATTTCTCGCCAAAGGAACTCTGAGAATTCACTTTGTGTTGGACGGCAAGCAAATATAATAATTAATTTTAGTTCTATAATACTTAAATAAATTTAATTTTGTATTTATCATTAATATTATTTATTTATTAATTTTTTTTTATAAATATTTCAGCTATTCAAATATAAAATGATCGATATGTGAAGTTCATTAAAATTTTATTGCATACTTTCAGGCTGTAAATGAAATAAACCAATTTATTTTTTCATCAACCCTTTTCCACATTTTCAGTTTCTTACTGCATACTTTTGGGCTGCGAATAAAATGCGTTGCTGCTCGAAAAAGAGTCTCATAGAAAACTAGTTATAATTCAGCTATATCCTGGAGCAGGACGAAAGTATATGTTGAATTAGGTTCGTGAAGCTCAGCGGCATTGATTGCCACCAAAAAATTAGGGGGTTATCTAAGAATCCAGGACTTATAGTATTTCAGTCCCAGTGCTTGTCAGGCCAAATCCTGCATACCTTGAACGCCACTAGCAGGATCTATGTGTCCTTTGGCTAACTATTAGCCCTAAGCATTACACTTTTTTAACATACGACATGCTAGGATCTAAAAGGAATCAGCCGAGCTGTGTCAATTTTAACTAATAGTCATGTCCTTTGATCCTTAGATGACCCCATCCTTTTCTAACGTACAAGCATACAGTTAGTTATTAGCATTCCAACGCACCAAATCCTGTCGAAATCTATAAGGATATGGCCGAGTTAGAGCTATTTACCTGCATCAGGACATTCTTTGCATAGCCATAACTCAGCCAAATTCTTAAGGATCCAGCCAGGACACACCTCTTTGAGCTCGTAATCAACTAAGCTATTGATTGCCATTCAAGGATTTTCAGGATTCCATAAAAAATTTCACCTCAAATTTTTGTAAGGGATAAGGTCGAAAAATGGCCAACAGGCACCTTAACTTGGCCATTTGAAGGACTAACGAAATTTGCTTTAGGCCATAGAAAGTTCTTTGGGCACTGATGACAAATATGCAATTAGAAGGGCGAAAGTCCTTAAAACAGCAGAGAAAGTAGGACTTTTGTGTGTAAAGAAAATAGCCTATAACTCGACCTTATCCTTGCGTATCCTGGCAAATGAGATGTCAAACTAAATGGTGCCACCACGGCCACCAGCTGACCAAAGGATATTCAAATCGTCCTTGTGGTTAATGAGTTATTGGCGTTTTAGCGTGTATTGGGCGATTTCCTAAGCTGCCGAGGCCGCTCGGCAAGTCAAGTCCTGGATTCTTAGATAGCCCCCGGATATTTTGATGCCGATCGATCGGCATGACTATCACGATTCTAACACACCACGTCCTTTTGTCCTGCGTAAGGATATGGCCGAGTTATAGCCTAAGAACTAAGGCGTCATATGAGCAAAAGCAAAAAACTGTTGCATACCCAAAAGGGGCAGCCGAGGCTGAAAACTGAATTTGAATGGAAATTTGTCTGCAGTACTAGGCGAACAGAAATGGCAACATGTAAACGGAACGCCAATGGACGAAAATTTTCATTGCATACCCTAAAGGGCAGCCATGGCCTCAAACTAGAGTTACCTCAAGCGGCTAAAGTAAAACTGATGTTATCCTTAAACTTTTTCTAATGAAGAAAAGAAAGAAAATTGAATTTTGTTTTTTTATTTATTTTATTATTTTTATTTATTTAATTAATAACATGAAATATGACAAACTGAAGCTTAATTTGTTAAGTGTGGCTAAGCTATAAAATAATGGAAATTCATGAAGGCCCATTGGTAGTTGGTTGATGTTTTCTGAAAAGATTCTGAAGGACATAGTCATGATATGGCTGTAAATAGAATGTCAAAGAACCTTTACTAGATATTCGAAAAATAGGCCGTTAAGCCAAGTATGCATACAATACCTATGTAATGGCTCGATAAGCACTTTGAGACAACATTTCTCGATTCTCATATTCATAAATAAAAGCCCAGTTAATATGCGCTGTGCTCATAAATTGTGTGATGCCATTTGCCAAGCGCCCACTGCTGCTGCTGCCTGCCTGCCTGCTCTTGCCTTAGCTTCGCATTTTTAATTTAAAAGTTTGCGATAACAAATGATGCACAGCCTCCGCACCCACACACACAACCACACGCCCACCCATTGGCCCATTCAGATATGTACTTAAAATAAGAAATAATGTTGACTGCTGATTTAGGAGCTGGCCCACAGTGCTCACTCGCATGCAGACACCTATAGCTATCTATAGCAGCATATGTGTGTGGGTGTGTGTGTTGGTCGAAAAGAAATGTAAAAAGAAATGAAGCGAACTTTGGCGCTAATAAATTGCTTCATATCTCGCTGAAGGCAACGCTAATATACTACGCCACAGCAGATAACTCATACGCCGCGTAGCCAGCAGGAGCAGCAGCAGCAGCACCAGCAGGAGGCGTTTCTTTTTTCTCTTCACTGCTTCCATATATGCATATTTATTTCCCCTTTGCTTATCAGCGACTAACACAAAAAAAAGCAAGAATGAACGAAATAAAGCAAAGCAAGTCCTGTAGCACATGAGAAATTGCCAAACACATTAGACGCCGAGCAGACGCAGCAGCAGCAGCAGCCAATGAAGGCAGTCATATAAGTGCATAGCAGTCTCGTTACCATTTCTCATGCGAGCGGAAATTATAATACATATTGCTTATAAATAGTATTTTTAATGGAATGTTACTTGTTTACATATAAATATTTAGTTTCTGTTGTGCTTGTGTTTGTAATGAAAGTTATGAGAATTTCTTTTGTTAGTGGCTTGAAGAATGAGGCAATAAGGCCATGGTTAGTGAAGTGAATATTGTTAGATATGGCTTTAAGAACACATAACTATATAACTAACAAGAGACTATAATGCGTTTCTAAGGAACAGTGCGCAGAAAGCGAAGTGACTGTGTTGATTGAAATATTAGCGCCGAGTAAAACAGTCTTACACGATCATTTTTTTGGTATTTTTCTGCATTTTAATAATAATAAAAAAATATTATTTATATATTAATTTTTATATTTGTATATTTTTGTATTATTTATTATTTATGTTCTGATAACTTTTAGGCAACTTAATCTAAGCTAAAATTAATTAATATACTCTCTTAGGGCTGTGGACGTTAACTAAAGAGGAGCAAGCAGATATAAGGTGTAGTTACAGGGAAGGTTAAAGGAGATATTTGCTCGGTCAGGCGTCTGAGCCTTCTCATAGCTCAAGTGCAGAGGCAAGCTAAACTTTGGGGTAACATTCAAATCTCTCAAGGTATTTTTTGGTCAGATTCCAGATTTAGTCTCAAAGTTTTGTAAATAAAATAGAACATGTTATAGTAAAATAATAAGTGTTATTTTTTATAATATATATAAAAAAAAATAAAATGTTTGATCAAAAATCAAAGAATATATATATTATTTCTATAGATATATGTCTAGATATATCTATTTATTACACACCTTACCGCGGCGCTTTTCCTTGCCCTTTCCTTTCATAGTAAAAACACTTCGAGTTTAGCTCAAAAATTTGACATTTAAAATTGTATTTATTTAATTATTTAATAATTGCTGGGAATACATATTATAATATAATGTATGTATGTGTGTGTGTGTGTGTGTCAGTGTGTGTGTTTTATGTTTATGCTTTCAATAAATTACAAGTAAATTTAGTTGGGTTTTTATATTTTTTTATATATATTTTTTTGTTGATTTTGTGTGCTTATGGATCTAGTGGAACAATTCATATTAAACACGTTCAAGTGTGGCTATAAATGTGAATCTACTTTTTTTCTTTAAGTTGTTAAATTGAAATGAATTGCAGCTGCGTTTTCAGCTGAAAAAGTAATGCCCTTTGGCATGTAGTTGAGCTGATGTCAGGTATTAAATACCAAAAGTGTTTTAGATTAATTTTGCTTAATTTTGCTTAATTTTTGCTTGTTGTCTTCGTAGATATGTGCTAAGCTGGAAAACGTACGAGAAAATAAGGCGAAACCAAATATTATTTGAAGAGGAAACAAGTAATTCCCAATGCTTGTCAAACTATAGACTTCGTTTTATATATATATATATATATATAGATATGGGTAACATATATATTTACAGATGAAATTGGCTCTCTTTGGTTACACTCCTAACTTTGCAAATGGTTTGAATAGTTCAACTTATTTCGATATATTTAGAGTGCTATATAGATATATGCATATATATTATTAGATATTTGATTAGTTCGTGAGCTACAAAACGTGTTTTTGTGTTTTTCCGCGATAAATTAAAGTACGTTTAGTTCAGCTAATTTTAATTTTTAACTAAGTTTTATTTACTCTTTTTAGTTTTGTTTTCTTTTCTTTTTTTTTTTTTGCTAATTCTTCTTTGCTTACTGGGCCTGGTTACTGGGTCTAGATAATAGCTCCGGCTATAATACTTTGAAGAGACGTTGCTTAACTAGGTAGTCTAAGGGAATTCAACTTGCTTTTTACTCAATTTGTCATAGCTGCATAGTAGTTAAGTCTAAGTTAGTTTTTCCTTTTCTTTTAATATATACAAATGGGAGGGAGAGAGACAGAGTTGTGTTTAGTCGCGCTCCTCGTACTTGGGCACAAAGGCACCGAGGCCGCCCAGCTGCCCGCATTGGCTGTTGTCGTAGAGCGACATCTTGAGCCGCTTGCACTTGGCTCGGCGATTCTTGAACCAGAACTGCACATTCTTGCTCTCCAGCCGTGGAAACTTCTGACTGCAAAGGCACACAGAGCAGAGACAGAGAAAAACAATGAAATTGCAGTCGAGTTGCTCGGAGCTTTAGTCGCTCAACTTACCGATAGGGCATGGTATTCAGATCCTCGGTGTATTTGAGTATCAGATTGTGCGAGGGATGTGTGTTCATGGCGAACCACTGCTCCAGCTTGGGCACCTCAGTCACTGGGTCGATGAAGGTGCGATTGCGCTTGCGGCGCTCCTCATTCGAAATGCTCGACAAATTGAGTCCGGCGCCGCCCATCAAGGCATTTGGCTGCAGTCCGGCAGCTGCCGCGGCCGCAGCCGCATGATGGGCATGCGGATGGGCGGCGGCTGCCTGGCCAAAGGCCGGTATATAGTGGCTCATGTACATGAAGGATTGCGAGAACATCGAGTTGGGCACCATGGGAAACGGCAGCTGGTCCTTGTGTGGCGTCACGCTGCCCGCTAGATCCGGCGAGGGCGAGCGAAACTCATCCAGATGACTGGTGTCCTGCTCGTTGTCATCGTCATCCTCATCCATGTCGAGGTCATCCTCCTCTTCCTTGGGCGTGCTGCGCTTGGTTGGGCTGCCGCCAGTTTCCTGCTCGGTGTTGTTGTCGCCGTGGTTGTTGCTGCTGCTGTTGTTGTTATTGTTGCTGCTGCTGGTGTTGCTGCTGTTGTTGTTGGCAGCGGCGCTGGCTTCCTCAGTGCCTGCGGCTTCTGCTGGCGCACTGACATTGGCATTGGAGTTGGAGTTGTCCTGATCTGGCAACTCGGCAGCATCGCTGGCCTTCAGCACGATGGGCTTCTCGTCGTGCTCCTCGACGCCATTGACCACATCGCTGTTAGCGCTCTTCGAACGCTGCTGCTGCTGCTGTTGCTGCTGCTGCTCCTCATCTTCATCATCCTCCAGCATGGGCGAGCTGCGATGTCGCTCGTGCGTGGTTAGCGAAAGCGGCAACTGCGGCGTGCTTGGCCTGCTGGGCTCCTCCTCCAGCTCGTCCGAGTGCTGCGACATGGTGTCAATGTCCTCGGACTTTAAGCTCATGGGACTCTTGAGATAGTCATGCGACATGGACAGATTGCCCATGCTCAGCGGCTGGCTGCCAGCGCTGCTGCTCGAATTCTGACCCAGCGGCGCATGCTGACTCAAGTAGCCGTTCATGGCCGCATGGCCCAGAGCGCTCATCGCATTGCCCAAGCTGCCGCCGCGCATCTCGGCGCGTTTCTGGGCCGCGCGCGCGTTCTTGAACCAATAGACCACGTTGTTCACATCGAGTGGCTTGCGACCGCGACGCGACTCCAGCGCATTCAGCTGCACCACATAGGTCTGGATCTGTTGACGCGACGGATGTGGGTTCTCCTGGAACCACTTCTGCAGCTTGGGCAACTCCATCTCGGGATCAAAGCTGGTGCGCATGCGCGTCTTCTGACTGGGATATTGGCCGGCATGCGCCGTGGCATGATGATGATGGTGCATGCCCGCGTGCATTGGATGCACCAGCATATTGCCATGATGGCCAGCTGCCTGGGCCTGACCCACCACGGCGGCATTGGCATGATGTCCAGCCGCCTCGTTGGCCAGCAGCAGCGATTCGCGACTGCTCATGGCGCCCAAAGGATTGGCAGCGGCGCCTGCCGCATGTGCCGCCGCAGCTGCAGCAGCCGCCATGGCTGTGCCGACGGGAAAGTCCATGTCGCCGGGCACAACGGGCACCGTCGAAGGCGCCGACATAAACGGCAGCATCTTTGGCGTCATAGCGGACTGCGGCGACAGCTGGTTCGACCACCATTGATCAAACTTGCGCCGCAGCTCATCGGAGATCTCCCCACCAGGCAGTGCATAGGTATTCTGATGTGAGCTGCGACAGATTTGCGAGAGCGTCACCTGCAAATGGAGACAAGCAGACGATGCATGCGTGAGGACTATGTGCAAGAGGCGGGACTGTACTTTAAATGGAGTTCGATTGAAATTGCTGGAGATTTATGGCCAAGCATAGTTCGAGATCTCTAGCACATGCATTGGCCTTTCCTGTGTCGCCACGTTAGAGCCAACTGTCTGGCAAGTGTCATAAAAAATCACAGTTCGCTAAGCTACGGGCCAAGTTGGTTTGGGTTGGGGTTTCAGTTTGGTTAAGGCCCTCAAGTGGACGGGATTTACTTAGCCATAAATGTTGGCGGTACGCTGATACCACAAAACTAACAGAGATAGAGCAGGAGAGGGCGAGATAGAGAGACAGAGGTAGGTAGGTAGGGCGCGATAAATAGATAGTTCCTATGCGCCTGATAGGGAGCGACAACAGCTTATGCGATTAAAATTGAATTTAATGTTCAGAAATAGAAATTAATTCGTAAGTTCTTCGGCTAGCAATCACGCACATATCTATCTGTATATATATATATATATATCTGATAGGGTCTAGAGTTGGGTTTCTGTTATGCCGTATTAAATGCTCATAGATACCTACGTCTCCAATATACGTGCGCTTCCATATAATAGATAATGTCTGCTTGCTATCAGCTAAGGAGGCGCCCCAAATCACTTAAGCTGCACGCTAAGTGAGGGAGGGGGAGGGGGAGGGGAAGGGGGCGGCGTGGAGCGGGTTGTCTTGGTGTTATAGACAACTAATTGTAAATAAAAGAAGAAGCAGCAGGGTGGGAGTGGGGTGGAGGGTGGCGCAATTATTAAATTGATTTTCATATCGTTTCGCAATGCGCGAAGAAGCCACGAGACAAACACACGCTGTCATAGTGTGCGTGTGTGTGTGTGCTGGGAATTATAGGAATATATATGCTTATCATGTGATTAGAGCCAAGCGCTTTGCTAATATTAATCAGGGCCAATAAAATCGGTCGCAATATCAATTGAAGGGTATTTCGGTCGTGATTTCCGATAGTGTTATGTATATATATATATATATATATATATATATATATAAATATGATTTATGACTGACTGTCAACAAGTTGAGGGATTTAGATGTGGGTCATGCGCTGCCATTTAAGACTATGATCCAACAGTTGCAACTAAGTCCTGGCCTAAACAATGAGCTCAACCTATCTAAGATATAACCACACATACCTGTGTATGTGTGCGTGTGTGTCTGTGTGTAGTTGTAAATTGTGCTACGATAAGCACAAAGCTGATTAAAAATGAAAACTATTGCTGCAAAGGATTTGTTAAGTGAACCAAAATAAATGAACTCGGCTTAACAAAACATTTCTTTGTAGTCGTTATTTTGTATCAAATTTTGATATGCACACAGACATTTATATATAGACAGGCAGTTGGACGGAGGGACAGACATTGGCTGCGGCTGTTAAGAAAGGGCGCAAAACTTTTGTTGCCAAGGAATCACGTGTGTGTGTGTGTGCGTGTGTGTATTTATGCCTCAATTCACGCAAATTAGCGGTTTGAGTTTTGGCTGTGAAGTTTTTACTTTAAGCTGCGGCTTATGCTGCGCCTAGGCAAGGGCACTGGCGACAAGTTGAGCCAAAAAACTGTAGAGTAAGACGAGCATAATGGGTAAGACTAGATAAACCGCTTACGCATCATTATAGAATTTTTGTCAACTCAAGTTGGGAAAGTTCAAAGCGAATGTCTAATTAGCTAAGATATTATTTGCAGTACGCCACTCACCTCATCCAGTGGGCAGCCGGTGGAGCGTAGCAGGGCATGGGATTGCAGCACGAGCAGCTTCAAGAGCTTGTCCTTGATCTCGCCAAATGGCGAGGTTTTCGGCCGCAAGATGACAATGCGCAGCGTTATAACGGAGGTCAGTTCACCAACTATATCGCTAACCGGCACAGCCGGATTGTCAGAGATCTTTTCCAAGGGTATGGGCTTCCAGTGTTTAATGATGAGAGAGCCTGCCGCGCAGAGAGGACGAAAGGTGCATCAGTTAGAGTATTTATATAGAGAGTCGTCCCTTTGGTTATCCCCACACTCACCTCTGGCTGTATTGGCTACCTCCTGCGAGTAGCCGAGACGCTGCAGCGCAGTCTGAACTATCTCGCTCCAGGGCGTGGCTGCTGCAATGATCACATAGCTGTCCGTCTCAATGTTTGGTCGACGCTTCCACGGCTGGCGTGTGTCGATGGTGAGCGAGGCGTGCAGCGAGTGCACAGACTCCACCACGCAGTGCAGCGGAAGCGATTTCGCTGCAAGAAGAGCGGAAGCGAGAGAAGTTAGAGAAGCATGCTCAAAGGTGCTTAGCGATAAAGAGGATGATATATTAGAGATGTTTGAATACCATAACAGCAAGAATATATTTATTATCAATTATATTTTTATCAGTTCAGAAAACTTATTAGACCAACCTCGGAGTGTCTAAGCAAGTTTATTAAAGGAAATTGAGTTAAGAATTCAATAATTAATTTCATTATCAGTTAAGTTTTTTAGATAGAAAGCAGTGATCATTCCACTTCAATTTGCTGAACTAGTTCGTTCATTGAATAGGGAACTATAGAGTTTATACATAGATAATCATAAAGCCAGTTCAATGTACTGAACTAGTTCAACTAAAAAGTTTATACATAGAAAAGTAGTAAAAAGTTCCAGTTCAATTTGCTGAACTAGTTCGTTCATTGAATAGGGAACTATAGAGTTTATATATAGATAATCATAAAGCCAGTTCAATGTACTGAACTAGTTCATTCTTTAAATAAACAACTAAAAAGTTTATACATAGAAAAAGTTCCAGTTCAATGTACTGAACTAGTTCATTCTTTAAATCAACAACTTAAAAGTTTATGCTTAGAAAAGTACTAGAAAGTTCCAGTTCAATTTGCTGAACTAGGGAACTGTGGAGATTATACATAGATAATCATAAAACTAGTTCAATGTACTGAACTAGTTCATTCTTTAAATAAACAACTAAAAAGTTTATACATAGAAAAGTAGTAGAAAGTCCCAGTTCAATTTGCTGAACTAGTTCGTTCATTGAATAGGGAACTATAGAGTTTATATATAGATAATCATAAAGCTAGTTCAATTTGCTGAACTAATTCAATTACTAAATTGGAAACGATATTCTTTATATTTAGAAAAGTATTAGAAAATTCTAGTTCACTTTGCTAAACTAGTTCATTTTTCAATAAGTTCATTTAGTTCAATGTACCTTTTTCAATAGTTCATGAACGAGAACTAGCTAAGTGCAACATATGATCGAGGAATCTCTGAATCTCTGAATTGAAGAGATTATTAATGAATGTTCCGGATGAACTTTTGAACACTAAAAATGTTCATTAAGTAGTTTTAACTGGTTTTGAGCGATATTTTACAAGTGTAGTTAGAATTAACAAACTTAAGTATATTGAGTTTGGCTCAGACTGAGTGGCTTGTACTTAATGCCCAAGCATTTGCCATAACTGTCGGCTGGCCTTGATGGAAATAATTGTAGTTAGTATAGATTCTGAGTAGTCTCTAGACTACCATTAGCCAGCCCCAACTGCCTACAGTTAATAAAGAACATTATAAGTACCAGACTGGTCAAGGTTTTGGTCTTTATCTGAGAGATGATTCCAACTAAATTCTCGCTCTTCTGATTCTCGCTTGAGTGATGTCTATATGACTGGGAAACTTGAACAGCTCAGTTATATACACACAGAAACTGCTTTAGGCAGGGTATTTTCTAGTCTGTCAACTACAATTTCTCATCTAATTAGAGCCCAACTCTCACTGCAGCTAATCGGTTTAGTAATGCGTTGCGAACGCTTCAAATGGCGCCAAGTGCAAATCGCTCAAATTAAAATCAGCAATTAAAACATATTTTATATATATATATATGCTGCCACGCCTCACTGTTCACTGCGCCCACTGCCGCCCATAAGTATTTAAATAAATTATTGCATGCTGCGGTTAGCCATAAAATGGTTTTAGCCGCTTACCCATTATCAAACAGGATTATGAATATGAATACGAATACGAATATGAATATTCATATATTCATACGTGTATGTGCGTGCTTAGTGCATATATCATAATTATTTATGAATAATGTGGTTAGCACTTGGAGCAATATTGAGTTGGCCATTTGATTGGCTTCGGCTTGAGAGAGTTGTCGGTTTTCATCAGTCAAATATGTGGCCTAAGCCCTTTTGGTCTAAATATTTTTGGGCAAAAACTTTTTACCCGCGACCAATTATGCACAGCTTAAAAATAATTTACCAAAAATGTTTGCCAATAGCAAATGCAAATGCAAATACGCGCCCAATGCCCAATGCCCAATCCAAAGCTGTAAAATGCATTCGAGGCATACGAACTGAGGTGGGCATAGATGCTGCTAGGGGTCTGCGCTCTGGACATCAACTGCAAATAGGCTTAACGCCCTCTGCTGTTGCCGCTGCCACTGCCACTGCCACTGCCACAGCCATAATGGTATTATTAATTATTCCAATTATAAAAATTGTAAGCAGCGCAGATTGTTGGCCGATTGGCATTTGGGCAGGTTTTAAAACAGCCCAAAGAACGCATCGACCAAAAGTTTTACTGCCACAATTATGAGCGATTTTTACTATAAATAAATATATATATTAATGTATATATGTATGTACATAGCTTTGTTTGTGTGCGCCTGCAAATCTTTTAATTGCCATAAAATCCTCATTGGGCATTAAAAATAAATATATCATTGTATGAGCATATTCGTGAAAATCAACCAGGAAATATATAATTATATATATATATATAAATCATTTTTTATGTGTGTAAAATAAAATGCAAAAGTTGATAAGTAAGACGAACAACTATCTGTGACAAAGTGGCACTCTATATACTCTAGGCTTGACGCAAATTTAATATTAAATTAAATATTATTTATTGTATTATCTTATATATTTATTAAATATAATTTTATATTAAATTAAATATTATTTATTGTATTATATTATATATTTATTAAATATAATTTATGTGAAATTTTCACATAAAAAACTTAACTTCCCATGCTATATTTCCTATGGTTTATAGTAGACAAAGTTCTTTAGATTCAATTATTAAACTTGCGTATGAAACCTTTTCTAAGGATTTCTCAAGTCATCTGAAAAGCTATCATGCTAAAATTCCGTTTTCAGCTGATTCTTTCAATGCAGATCAAATATATATACCAGTTCAATATGGATTTATATGCAGTGATAAAGCTTGTGTATATCTCATGAACATATTGTTAAAATCTTTTTTAAAAACAGAACACAAGAACTCTAGATAGCAGCAGTTACAGCTATATATGGTATATAATATATGGTAATATATTAAGTATTTTACCACATAGTAGCTCAATGATATATCAAGAGCAACATCGAACACTTTACAACAATATCTGATTTATATATTAAGACACAGCAAACTTTCCAAACTTCCTTTGTATTTATATTCTTATAGGCACTCTACTATCACGAGCCTAGGCCTGTAAGTGTTAGACAATATAGTAAAACAAAATCTTTTTGAAATTTTGGATTTATATATATACTACATATGTTCTCTTTAAAGAAATGAAATAAAGAAATGAAATGCATTATCAAGCGATTATGTCTAGCTGCTCAATTTAACTAATTCCTCTTAATGAACGAGCCTCTACTTATTATTTATGCTTACATGGAAACAAAAAATAGTACAATTTGCCAAAAATTGTCTAGAGATAAGGTATACATAAACATTAAAAAACAACAAAGCATATTTCATAACAAAATGAAAATACCTTTTTGAACTTTATAACAAATGCCAGCACAAGTTAAACGCTAATAAATATGGCAGATAAGTAGAGCTATATCCGCTCACAGATCTGTGAAATGCCTTTATAAACCACATTCTATAATCTCTTCTATATATATATATATATATATATATACATATATATATAAATTTATCATATTAACATATCAGCTCATTTAATTTCATAAAATTCAGTTAATTTCGTAAAACTCTATGAAATTTTAAACAATAAAGAGCGACAGGCCTTTGCGTGTGGGAGGCTGACATAATGCAGCACACACACATACATACATACATACATACATATATATATATGCGCTTAACCCATGTTCGACCTGGTAATATACGCAATTACGATTTTCGATTTTCACATAGATATTTAAACTGCGGGAGTGACTCCAGGGCTTTTTTCCGCGCTGAGTGGCCGAGGCGCTGACCAGTTTTTGGCTTTGGCATTTGCTGTGCATTGTGCGTGGGGGCAGCTGCTTTCTATCGAGGTGGCAGCGAGGTGCGCTTGTGGCAGCTATTAGCTCTGCCACGAACAATGCAGCGAAAATGCGTCTACTGCAACCGAATAATAAACTCATTAAATCCATTATCCTGCCCCATGATTTGGGGGCTAACACAAAAGCGGATTTTACGCGCATGCATATGTGCGAGTGTGCGCGTGTGTGTGTGTATGCTAATTGTTGCGTAGCTCAGTTCAAAAATGTTGCTGGCCCAGGCACTCGAAAAATGGCTGCCTTTACCTGCGTGGCCGCTAGTTGAAGGGGGCGTGGCGTGGCACATGAATTCAGTCTGCTGGCATAATGCAGGCAGCGCTTAAGTAGCCCCGAGCGACTGCCGCTTATCCTTATTAGCATTATCAGTGGCCAAAAAAAAAGTAAAAATAATCGAGACGCGCAGCCAGCAAATTGAATTAAAAACGTTTCAGGCATTAAATCTCAGCCAAGGCAGTCAGACAGACAGCCTCGCCCAGCCGCTCAGCCGCTCAGCCGCCCATCCGCCCAGTGGCCAAAAGCCACGCAGCAGTTGCCCTAAGCTGACAAACGATTTGTAATGAACTCCACTTGCATAGGCTTAGACGCTGTCGTCGCCTTCCCTCCTCTCTCTCTCACTCTCGCCTCGCAGACTTTTCCATTTTCTCTTACTTTTTTGCCCTGTGTCGCAGCTTAAGATTTATTAACCTGCGTCGATGGCACGAAAAAATAATAATGAAGTTGCCAATTGCCTGGCATTCGACTAGAGACACAAACACAATTCACAATTGTGTTGTATTTTGTATACCCTGTAAGTGTGTGTGTCTGTCTGTCGCGTGTGATTATATAAATATTTAAGAATTTAAAGCCTAGTTACGCCAAAGAGATCAAAGTGAAACTAGATTGTGTTAAATGTAGCGAGGGTAAGTCAAATTGTTGCTATGCAAATTAAATACAGGGTATTTGAGCAG